GAAGGGGAGGGTCAAGGCAGGGGACTTTTGGTTTTTATCATAGGCTCTTCTGCCCTGTTTGATTTGTTGCCATGTACACACATTACTTTAATAAATACAAAATCTTTAAAAATTATGTTTATCTCACAACAACAAAATGATTATATATCTTATGACACTTTATGACAATATCAAAATGTATATGTGGATATCCAGTTAGACTTGCCTCCACAGAAGAAATTCATACTGTAATGTACCTCACATATGTTTATGAAGAGAGTTGGAAAGGATATGCTGGGACTTAAAACATTGGAGGTAGTAGAGCGTAGTGGTGAAGGCTCTAGTATCTGACATCACCCTGATGGGATTCAAGTCATTTCTTTGTCATTCACTAGGTCCCTTATACATAGTTGGTGTTCAGTGTCTGTTGAATGGTTTGAACGTACTTCACAAACATGTGCTGAGGAAGAACTCAGTGTGCAAAGAGCAGGGGAGAAGGAGTATTGGTCCAAAAGTGGGTAGCTGGTATTCTTTTCTTTTTTCAAAAACATATTTTATTGATTTTTTACAGAGAGAAAGGGAGAGGGATAGAGAGTTAGAAACATCGATGAGAGAGAAACATTGATCAGCTGCCTCCTGCACACCCCCTACTGGGGATGTGCCCGCGACCAAGGTACATGCCCTTGACCGGAATCAAACCTGGGACCCTTCAGTTTGCAGGCCGATGCTCTATCCACTGAGCCAAACCGGTTAGGGCTGTAGCTGGTTTTCTTATCTATGGACAATGTGCCTTTAGTTTAACATGTAGTCATTTTTTTGCTGTGGAATAATAGCCCTCAGAGCTTAGAGGATACAAAGTTAATTAAATTGCCCTGCACATAAAAGGAGGAAAAAATGAGATTCTACCAAGCTCAAGAGAGGACATAGGAGTCTGGAAATGGAAAGGAGGGGGAGCTGCACCCACTGTATGTTGGGGGGGGAAAGGGCCCAACAGTGGTGGGGAGTGGGGCCTTGGAGAGGGGCAATTAGGCCTTTCCCAATCATGGGAATGGCTGAGGGAATACGAAGCACGGGAAAGTCTGATGCCCTGTGCTGTGTGACTTAAATGCCCAAAGAAGTGGTAGGAAACCTTGGAAGGAAACTTACCACCTGCTCTCAGCCTTACTGATTTTGTGTAGTCTGGGAGACGGGAAATGTGTTAGAAGAGGATTGGTGGTGAGGATATTCTGGGTTTCTTATTTAAGCTCCAGGCTTCTGAAATCTTGGATGTCCTGGGATTAGGCACTTTCATCCCCTGATACTCTGTCTTTCCTTATCTTCTGAACAGAGCTGCCTGTGATAAATCAGCTTTTCATCTTTTCCCTTAGTTGATATGTAGGATCTACATGATCTCGGGTATTTGCCTGCTGATCTATGGCTGCTGGAAACCAGTCTGGGACTCAGTTATCTAGGTTCTTCAGAGTTTATGGGTAGATGCTGAAGGTCAAAAGATTCCAAGAATTTGCCCTAACCGGTTTGGCTCAGTGGATAGAGCGTCAGCCTGCAGACTGAAAGGTCCCAGGTTCAATTCTGGTCAAGGGCATGTACCTTGGCTGCGGGCACATCCCCAGTAGGGGGTGTGCAGGAGGCGGCTGATGGATGTTTCTCTCTCATTGATGTTTCTAACTCTCTATCCTTCTCCCTTCCTCTCTGTGAAAAGTCAATAAAATATGTTTTTTTAAAAAAAGATTCCAAGAATTTATAAGGGGGAGGAGGTCAAAGGTCTGGTCAAAGGGTGAAGATTGTGAGCACATTTTTCTTTTTCTTTCTTTTTTTAAAAAAATATTATTGATGTCAGAGAGGAAGGGAGAGGGAGAGAGAGAATCATTGATTGGCTGCCTTCTGCACTCTCCACAACGGTGATTGAGCCTGAAACCCGGGCATGTGCCCTGACCAGGAATTGAACCTTGATCTCCTGGTTCATAGGTCGACTCTCAAGCACTGCCCTGAGTCGGCTAGGCTTGTCTTTTTTCTCTCTCAAGTTTTCTACCTGTTCTCTGACCCCCAGGACATAAGGTAAGGGTGGTTATAATATTGTGTTACAAAGGTGGTGGCACTGAGAGGGGACTGGGGAAGTTTGGCTTTGAAAATCTTTGGAAATGCCTCTCTAATGGACTTGGACTGAGCTTTTGCCTGAGTCTCTTACATCCAATATCTCCTAAGGTTCTGAGTCTGCATTCCTTGAAAGTTACTCCACGATCCCAAAGGCTACTTGAAATGTGCGGAATTTAAAATGATGGAAGTTGAAACAGAGGGTAGATGTCACAGAGTGTGTTCCATGATGAAGAAATCACATGAGCAAAGGTTCTAAAGCAAGAGAAGGCAGGGCAATCTGATAATAGTTGTTTTGCTTGGTTGGAATATATAGATAGTGGTCAGAAAAACAGCAAGAAAAAGGCTGGAAAACTAGTTAGGGCTAGATTTTTGGAAAGCCTTGAAATTAGGCAGAGGCATTTCTGGTTTCTTTTTTTCTTTTTTCGGGGCTGAGGCATGTCTTGAAAGAGTTGTCTACAGTCATTGTCATGAACACCTCACCTGCCATTCACATCTCAACCCACTTTAATCAGGAAACTGCTGCATGGCAGACTCCCAAATAACAATGGCTTAAAGAAGACATACATGTATTTATCTCACCTAAAAGAAATCCAGAGGTAGGTAGTCTAAAGCTGGTAGGGTGGCACCAAGAAATTGTTAGAGATCCAGGTTCTTTTTAGTTTACTGCTCCACTATTCTTAGGGTATGACCCTCGTCCTACTCTATTTTTTAAAAAAGATATTTTTATTGATTTCAGAGAGGATGGGAGAGGGAGAGAGAAACATCAATAATTAGAGAGAATCATTGATCGGGTGCCTTCTGCACAACCCACGCTGGGGGATCGAGCCCGCAACCCAGGCATATGCCCTGACAGGAAATCAAACTGTGACCTCCTGGTTCATAGGTCAACACTCAACCACCGAGCCATGTTGGCTGGGCTTGCCCTCATCCATTTAATTCCAGAAGGCTATGTGTCCAGCTAAAAATTAGATATTCTATTACTAAGGAGGGGGAGGAGAATGGATTTGGGGGTAATCAATTAGCAATCTATGCTACAAATCCCTACTGAAATAATCCCTTCCAAAGTCACCAGAGACCAGACCACTACCTGATTAGTAAAACCCCTAGACATTTTTCAGGCCTTTTCTTGACCTCTTGGTAGCATTCAACACTACTGACCACTCCCTCCTTTTGAAACATTCTCTTCCTTTGGTTTGGTGACACGGCTTTCTCCAGCCTTTCTCCCTTTCTCCTTGGTCAATACTTATCTGTCTCTCTCACAGACTCCTTTCCCTCCACCTATAGTGTAGCTGCTGCTGGTCTCTAGCGCTCTTCCCTGGGCCCCCTCTAAGGCTACACATTCTTCCCAGGTACTCTTGCCCTTCCCCATAGATTAAAGGACCATTCATATATTGATGACTCCTAGTTCTATAACCTCAGCCAAAACTCTTTACTGAACTTCAGACATGTATGTCCAACTGTGGGACATTGCCACTCAGATGTCCCACGGATACCTCAAAATCAATGCTCAGTTCCCCCTACATTCATATTCCATATATCAGTGAAAGGGGTTACCATCCACACATTTGATCTCTCAAGTCAGATCTCCAAGAGTTCCCTTTGACACTTTCCTCACCCCTTTCTCCACATCTAATTATTCATAAAGTCTTGTTGCTTTTTATTTATTTATTTTATTTTTAAGATCTGAATTCAATCACTTCTCACCACCTCTACTGCTACCACTCTAGGTCAAACCACAATTATTGTTTATCTGGAGGACTACTGTCCCTCTTTCCAGGAAGTCATCTAATCCATGCTCCTTATGGGTTAGGCAGCAAGGGTGTTCTCTCTAAAACTTAAGTCTATGTCATATCCAAGCCTAGATAATCTCTTCAATAATCTCTCAGTGCTCTCAGGATCAAAACCAAAGCCTTTTTCTTAGCATTTAAGGCTTGCCATGATTGGAAGAGATGAATCCTTATACAGAACAAAATTTGGAATGATCAAACACTTAAATGTAAAGAATAAAGCCATAAAAGTGCTTGGAATAAAACAGTGGGGAATAGGGAGCAGGAAAGCACCGCTAAGCATGAAGGAGACTCCAGTTGTGATAAAGGAAAACCTGATACATTTCACTACATAATAATTAAACCCTTTTGTATAGCAAAGACAATCATAAATAACATGACAAATATTTGTAATATATGTGACACACAAACGTATGAGAGATGTCGTTTGGTGGGGATGCTATTCCATGTACCTTTTGAGAATAAGTTGACAAATTTTGTATCAAAATGGAAGACTTTTTTGTGGCATTTGAGTCAGCCAAAAAAATACCATAAATAACAACAACAACAAAAGTCCAATACAAATACAAGGATGCTCCTTGTAGCATGTAATAGTAAAAAAAAAGGGGGGGGGCAATATAAATGTTCATGTATCCTGGACTGGTTAAATAAATTACGGGATATCTATACAAGATAAATTTATGTAGCTGTCAAAAAATGTGCAATGTGGAAAATCGATTAGAATATATAACTGGAAAAAATACAGGTCTCAGGACAGTAGGTGTAGTGTACCCTTTGTGGGCAAAAAACCCAAATTAATATATGCAACAGAAAAAAATCTGGAAGAATGTATATCAAAATGTGAGTAGTGGTTATTTCTGGGAGATGAGATAAGCGTAGCCTTTCATTGGTATGTTAAATATTTCTGCATTATTTGAATTTTCACAACAACACATTACCTTTGTAATAAGAAAGAATAAAGATATAAAAATAAATACATTCAATGAATGAATTGCTTTGAGGGAGTGGTTTTGGTTGGAAGGGCTTCAGACCGAGCCTGGTACAGTGGCATAAACACGAGCTTTGGCGTCAGACAGCCCTGAGCGGGGCCTCATTGCCCCACCCCCGAGGAAGGAGAAGGGGGGTGGCAGGGGGCTGCGGAAAGGGGCTGGGCTGGGCTGGGCTGGCTGCTGCTGTAGTCCAGGAGGCTGAGACTTCGAGAGGGACTGAGAGAGGGCAGACGCATCCCGGACTCACTCGAGGACAAGGTGAGGGACGCTGAGATTGGGGTTTGCTGGCCAGCCAGACGGTGCTTCCAGCTCCCTCGAACCTGTAGCCAGGCAGGTGGGCAATTATGACTGCATCCCTGCAGCTGTGCGAGGAGTGACCTGGCGTGGCATGTAGACAAGCAGGAGAACTTAGAGAATAGTAGGCTGCACGGACTGGGGAGCAGAGACTAGCGGAGAAGGGAGAGAAAAAACGGAGAGCCGGGCATGTTGGATGGCGGACAGGGAATATGAAGGGGAATACTGAGGGGAAGTGCAAATCCAGAGAAGAAACTATGGGATGCAGAGAAGGGTTAAGGAATACGGGGAAAGGGGTGCAGAGGTAACACGGAGGGGGATGTAAGAAGGGGGATAAAGAGTTCCATGGGGGTCAATAGGGAATGCGTTGGGAAATAGGGAGCAGGAAGCAAGGCAGAGGGAATCCGGAGGGGGGTTTAAGGAATGAAGAGCAGGGAGTGGGGGAAGGGCAGACTGGTTGAGACCGAGGCCCCCTAGGGAGGCGGAAAGGGGCGGGACCACTTCCGGCCGGGAGGGGGGAGGGCAGTCTCCGAGTTTCGGAGGGGCTCGGAGAGAGTGGACGCACTCTGGAATTGTAGGAGGACGAGGTGAGTAGCAGCGGGGCCCTGCTCTGGATCGGAGCCCGGTAGGGTTCAGCCCCACCCTCTGGGGAATCTCGAGAAAACCTGCCCTAAGGACCGGATCGCTCTGGATCCATCCGGCTGGGAAGGGAGGGGATTGGACCCGGTTTGTCTGTGCCCGAGACGGAATCACTAGCTCGATACTGATTTGAGGAGGGGGTGTTTCAGGGAAGGGGCAGAACCAAGATGTGCTTGGCCTGTTTGGAGGGGGGCGTGTTATGAAAAAGGGCGGGACCAGGCGGTACTGTGTACTCGGGCTGCGTGTGAGTAGGGGAGGAGCCGGGACCACCGGACAGTGTGACAATTTGAAAAAGGAGGCTCGCTGGGGAGGGGGCGGGACCTACTGCTCCTGCGGACCTGGAGGGAGGCGTGTGCTGGGAAAGGGTACCGGACTGAGTCCTCAACTATTGCGCATGCGTACTATGGATCGTTAGAAAGGGGCGTGCAGAGAAGGGCCCGCACCGAGCCGGCCAGCTGCCCAGTGCGCATGCGCACGATGGACATCAAAGAGAGGGCTTGTGCTGGGAAAGCGGGCGGGGCTGAGATGGGGCTTGCAGCGGACGCGCATGCGCACTGTCGACCTGCGGCTGGGGGGTGGGTGCACTGGGAAAAGGGGCGGGGTCCTCAGAGCTGCCGCGCTGGCACATCTTCCTGGAAAAGGGGAGGGTGCGGCTGCAGAGAATTGAGACCTCGACGCTGTGGATTACAGAATCTGAAAACAGAGTCGTTGGGGGTGGGGGAGGGGTTTGGGATAGGGGCCCTAGGGAAGGTGAGGATTAGCCTCCCAGCAGAACAGCAGAGAGGACGTTCAGTGGATTCTCCCCTTGACCCAGGCCTTCTCTCTTTCAGGCTCAGCTCTTGCCAGGCCAACTTGAGACATGTCTGACACAAGCGAGACTGGTACGGGTCCAACCCGCTCCCAGGTGAGACCTCCTCCTGTCCTCCCCCTGTCTGCTTTTCCTCTTCAGCCCCTGTTGCTGCCTCAAATCCCTTGGTACCTTCCCTTCTATCCTTGTCCTTCTCCACCCACTTCCCTGCCTGGGTGTCCCCCACCCCAGTAGAGGGAGTGAGGAAGGATGGGAAGGAAGAAGGAAGGATGGATGGAGGAAGGAAGGAAGAAGAGAAGACAGGTGCATCCCTCTTCCGCTATCAGTTCCTGCTCAGAGGAAGGGGGTGCCTTGTTGGGTTGAGGTGCTCAGAGCATGCTGCAAGTAGGGGTTCGTATAGGTCAGAGAAATGAAGGCTTGGGATTTGGGAGCGATTTGCCTGGTTGTGGGTGGGGAGAAGTCCCGTGAGCTTCCCTGCTTTCTCTTGCAGGCTGAAACTTCAGAAAAGGAAAGCGACTTGAAGGCGCAGACCGTATTGACAGTGACCCAGAACTTGGAGGTCTCAGAGACACCAAAGGCTTCAAAGGCACCAGAGGTCTCTGAGGCCGAGAAGGTCTCAAAAGCTGCAGGGGTCTCAAAGGCCACAGAGGTCTCAAAGGCCCCAGAAGCTCCCGAGGCAGCTGACACTAAGGAGTCATCTACCACTAAGCTGACTGATACCCAGAGTTTGGCAGCTGAAAAGAAGAGTCCAGCAGCTGACACCGAGGTGCAGAAGGCTGACCCTCAGGCTGTGACAGCTCCTGCCACTGAGACCGAAAAGGTCAGCTGTGTGGCTGATACTAAGGTCAATACAAAGGCCCAGGAGACTGAGGCTGATGCCTCTCAGGCTCCGAAGGCGGATGAACCTGAGCCTGAGGGCACAGTAGCCCAGGCTCAGGAGAATCAGGATACTCGGCCCAAGGTCAAGGCCAAGAAAGCCCGAAAGGTAAGACTTCTGCAATAACTGTCCTTGCCTTTCAATTCCTCTTCTCTAAGTTGGTTCATTTGTTCTGCAAACATAGAGAAAGTTTCCTGTGCTCATCAAGGCTGTGGGGAATGTGATGCAATTCCCATCTTTAGAGAGCTCACAGATTTGGGGGAAGATGAGACAAGAATACACAACTGTAATCTGAATGTAATGCAGTTTATGTTGACATAGTAGCTACCATGTGTTAGGCTTTGAGCTAGCACATTTACACAGCTTATCTCTTAAATCCCCAAAGTAATCCAGTTTTATAGAGAAGGAAGTGGACTCCCAGACAGATAGAATGAAGTTGTCCAGGTTGGTAGGAGCAGAGCCAGTGATAGATGGAGGAAGAGGAGAAGCTTTAGATTCCACTCTTGGGTGGTTCCTGGTCTGATTCAGTGATGAAACTCTTGCTTGAAAGCCAGTGAAAGACAAACCCAAGATTCAGCATGGCCAATGTCTAGTGAGTCACTACAGGGGTTGGATGAAAGGGGGTTTCTGGAAGAGAGAGAACGAGGGAAAAGGACCATCTGCTTCATCTGGCGCCGTTGTGCTTCCTCTCTGTTGATGCAGGTGAAGCATCTGAATGGGGAAGAGGAGGGCAGCAGTGATCAGAGTCAGGCTTCTGGAACCACAGGTGGCCGAAGGGTCTCAAAGGCCCTAATGGCCTCCATGGCCCGCAGGGCTTCAAGGGGCCCCATAGCCTTTTGGGCTCGCAGGGCATCAAGGACTCGCTTGGCTGCTTGGGCCCGGAGAGCTTTGCTCTCCCTGAGATCGCCTAAGGCCCGTAGGGGCAAGGCTCGCCGCAGAGCTGCCAAGCTCCAGGCATCCGAAGAGCCTGAAGCACCACCATCTCGGGATGTGGCCCTTTTGCAAGGGAGGGTAAGAACGCTGTCCTTGGCACTCAGCCTTAGCCACTGCCTTGCTTGCCTTCTTCTCTGCTAACCTTTCAAGCCTTCTGCAAATGTTTTTTGACCTTTATACCTTTTTCTCCTCTCCTAGGCAAACGAGTTGGTGAAGTACCTGTTGGCTAAAGACCAGACAAAGATTCCTATCAAGCGCGCAGGTAGAGTCCTACTAACTCCCTCCCCCTAGTTCTACCCTCTACCCCCTCTGTGCTGGGGGCATCCCTTGCTCTTCTGTTCCTACTTCTGTCCTCCCAACGTTCTAATTGGGCAGTGCTAGCATCTCTGTTCATTAGCTCAAAACCTGTTTATGTCACCAACAGCAGAGTAGGCAAAGGGTCTATAGTTTGGGTATGGGGGCCACCTGGCTTCACTTCAGCTCAGGTGCTCGCAACACTCTCCCCTTGCAGACATGCTGAAGGACATCATCAAAGAATACACTGATGTGTACCCTGAAATCATTGAACGAGCAGGCTATTCCTTGGAGAAGGTGAAGGGGCAGCCCTGGGGGATGGACACAATGGGGAAGCCTTGAATTGAACAAAGGTGTACACGTCCCTTCGGGGAGGGACCACAGAGATTCACTAAGCCCAGTCCCATCACTGGGCAGACAGTGACCTAGGGAGGTGCATAGACTTGCCAAAGGTCACACAACAAGTCAGTGGTAAAAGCACAGCTGGGACTCAACTTAGTCCTGACTTCTGCTGCTGGACATGTCCTGGAATGTATTCCAGATGCTCACCTCTTCCTTTTCATTCACATTCACAGTCTCCCTAGATTCCTACTAATCACAAGGATGATGTAGATAACAATAGCACATTTGTTGCCTGTTTGCTGTGTGCTGGCCTCATAGCTAAGTGCTTATGTGCATTAACTCACTGGTCTTACACACACACACACGCACACACACACACACACACATGCACCCTAGGTACATGGGGAGCTGTGGGATGCCCAAGAAGCTGAATTTGATGATCTCACAAGCTTTCCTCCCCATCCACAGGTATTTGGGATCCAATTGAAGGAAATTGATAAGAATGACCACTTGTACATTCTTCTCAGCACCTTGGAACCTACTGATGCAGGCATACTGGGAACGTAAGCTGGGAAAGGGCTGGGTGGGAGGGAGGCTTCTGCTTTTGCCCATGGCACTACCCCATCCCTGTCTTCTGTCCACACTTCCTTAGAGAGTCAGGAAAGACAGGCCTGAAAGCCTGTTCCAGCCCCCGCATGTAGCTGGAACCCTGCCCACAAAAGTTGTGCCTGGTTATGATGGACTGAAGGGTGTCGAAGCCTGGGGTGGGGCAGTCCTACTGTCAGGTTGTCTGTCTGTCCAGAAGCTTCCCAGGAAGGCAGCCCTGTCACTGCTTGTCTCTTCCTGCTGGCCTTGATAGAGTGGTTCTCACGGGAGGCCTTCCTGGTGTGGGTGGATCACGATGCTCGAAGGGCAGGAGCATCGGTGGCTGTGAATTCTCTGGTGGCTGAGGGGCCTGTGAGAGAAAGAAGGGCCTCACATTGACCGAGTGCCAGGGTCTAACTCTGTTGGGGGGATTTCTTCTGTCCTCTCAGCAGCCCGGGGAGGGGAGGATGTGATTTCCCGTTTCACTGGACAGGAGACTGAGGCTCAGGGGTCTAAGTGTCTTGCCCAGGGTCACGTGGAGCTTGAAGCACAGACTGGGCAGAACTCTCCCGTACCTGAGGAATCTGGGAGAGGCCAGCCTAGGGAGCTGGCTGGTGTGTTTTTTGCAGATGGCTGCGGACATAAACCTCTCTGTCCTATTGTTCCCCTAGAACCAAGGACTCCCCCAAGCTGGGTCTCCTCATGGTGCTTCTTAGCATCATCTTCATGAATGGAAATCGGTCCAGCGAGGGTGAGTGGCTGGGCGTGCAGCTGAATGGGTGGCCATGGTCAGAATTCCACATGTTCATTTTCTGTCCCTCTCCTCTTGCCTCCCCTTGCAGCTGTCATCTGGGAGGTGCTGCGCAAGTTGGGGCTGCGCCCTGGGTATGATTGGGCTCTCTCAGCACTTGCTGTCCGTGTTGTCCTTTGGCAAGAGAGGATGGTCCCAGGATCGCATCAGCCTGGTGGTCTGATGGAGCGGGCTGGGGTGTTGGACTGGGTTAGAGGGCCCATGACTCTGACCTGGGTGGATGGGGAAATGGTCCTGAACTCTGTTCCCTTGAGCTTACTGCCTCTTGAATTTCTATGGTGCTTCCTTGTGCCAGAAATCTCTCTTCCACGTTGGAAACGCCTCTGCACACATCTGGGAAGTGCTATGGTCCCGTTTTATTTACTTATTCATTCACTCATTGTATTTATTTATCTATCTATCTTTCTCTGCTGTCAGTATACATCACTCACTTTTTGGGGACGTGAAGAAGCTCATTACCGATGAGTTTGTGAAGCAGAAGTAAGTGTCCATCTGCTGTTGGTGTGTGCCATACATTTTGCCTATTTTAGAACTGGGTGATAGAGCTACGATGGGTGCATGTGTGCTTGTGTGTGTGTGTATGTGCTGGTGGGAGCTTGTTTTTAAGGTGATAGAGGCAACAAGAGCACATATTCCTTGACCCATTACATGTACTCTCACATATGCCCCAGAGCAGTTCTATAAGGGAGGGATTGTCATCACCGGCTTCGCATACAGGAGGAAACTGAGGCTCAGAGTGTTGAAATCATTTGCTTATGGTTACACAGGTAGCAAATTGAAGATTTTTAGATTCAGGTCCCAATGCGTTGGTTCTTTTTACCATGCCAACCAGGGCTTCGTAGCAATTAATTTCAATTTTAAAATAGTATAATTTCAATCATAAAATAGGAGCTGTAGGCAGCTAGCTACTGCGCTGGGGACTTGACATGTACCATCTCATTTCATTTTCATAACTACCCTGCAGAGTAGGTGCTGTCATCCCAGCTCCATTTTCAGTTGCTAAACCTGGGGCTCAGAGACAGATGTCTGAGCATGGCCCCAGCCGGTAAGGGGCCCATTCAGGCCTGGAGCCCAGCCCTCCTGCCTTTCTGGCCAGGGGCCCACCTTATCCTCATTCTGGGGAAACAAATGCGCACTCACAAGGTTGCACTAGCACACATGCACACACAGTCGGGAGTGTGTACGGAGTACGCTGCTCTTGGTGGACTGTCTTCCCTTTACAGCCCTTTTCTGTGGTGCACTGTCCCAGGCCACAGATGAGACGCTGCGGCGGGGTGTGCTCAGAGCAGGGTGCCTGAAGAAATGGCTCCTCTGTTTACAACACACCCAACAGGAACTGGGGTCACTGTGACAAGGGGCACAAAATGTGTGGCCTTCCTGTGCACAAGCACCCTACATGTTTCCCCCCGTGCCTTCACATGGCTGCTGGGCAGGAGGGATGGAACAGGGCTCAATGTTGGAAGAAAAGCTGCAGTATTTAGTGGGGAAGGTGCTACCTAGAGCCTGCCCAGCCCATGCATGGGTGGGCCATGGGTGGTCTTAGACGTAAAGGCTTCGAACCTATCTTTTCAAGGTACCTGGACTATGCCCGAGTCCCTAACAGCAATCCCCCTGAGTATGAGTTCTTCTGGGGCCTGCGCTCCTACCATGAGACCAGCAAGATGAAAGTCCTCAAGTTTGCCTGCAAGGTAATTGGAGAACTACCCAAGCTTGGCATATCAAGAGCATGGGTAGGCTGTGGGCAGAGCAGCCTGCAGCTTATATATGAATATTCTGAAGCCTCTCTTAGTGCACCAAACACTTTAGCTGAATCATTGAATCCTTCCGACTATCGTGGTGGTGTCCTCCTGCAGATGAGAAAACTCGGGATCACAGGTCACAGAGCTAATGTCAGGGCAGAGATGGGATACTAGTTGCATAATTACTAGAAGTATTTATTGTATTGCTACTGTATACAGCGTGTAGCATGTTGTCTAGAATCCAGTAGGTACTCCACTCTCCGATTCCAGTCCTTTTGAGGGTTGTTATTTCTGTTTCAGGTACAAAAGAAGGATCCCAAGGAATGGGCAGCTCAGTACCGAGAGGCGATGGAAGCAGATATTAAGGCTGCGGCTGAGGCTGCAGCTGAAGCCAAGGCGAGAGCTGAGATTAGAGCTCGAATGGGCATTGGGCTTGGCTCTGAGAATGCTGCTGGGCCCTGCAACTGGGACGAAGCTGATATTGGACCCTGGGCCAAAGCCCGGATCCAGGCGGGAGCTGAAGCTAAAGCCAAAGCCCAAGAGAGTGGTGGTGCCAGCACTGGTGCCAGTGCCGGTGCCAGTGCCGGTGCCAGCGCCGGTGCCAGCGCCAGCGCCAGTGGCAGCTTCGGTGCCAGTGCCAGCCTGCCCACCACTCTCACGTTTGGGCTCTTCTCTGGCCTCAGTGGAACTGGTGCCAACAGCAGTGGTAGCTCTGGTGCCTGTGGTTTTTCCTACAAGTGAGATTTCAGGTACATGTTTAGATTCGGTGAGGGCAGCCAGGGCTCTTGGGGATGGGATGAGCTGGGTGGTTATAGGAAGGCCAAGGTCGGAGGACCATACGGAGAGTGTGGGAAAATACTGCTTTTGACATTGTATTCCTTCCTGTTTGGTGGCTATCAGTTGACTTTCTAATTTTCTTTTACTTGTGATTTCAGATATTGCTAATCCCAGCAGCCTTTCTCTTCATGCCAGGGTGCGTCCTCAGAAATGTACTCAACACAGCACTCTAGGCAGCCACTATCAATCAATTGAATTTGACACACTATATTAAATCTATTTGCCATTTCTGAGTTTATTGCTTTTTTTGTGGGGATGGGCTGTAACATTTTGGTACTACATTTAAAAGTGAATTGGAAAAGTTTCCACCTCAATCTGTGCTTAGTTTGAGGTGACATTGTTAGATTCAAGGGAGCGAGATTAGCATGCCACTCTGGGATGGACTGGGCCTCATCTCTAGTTTAGAGGGCAGGCAGGATTGTGGTTGGGTGCAGAGTCATGGGGATTGTAGGCACAGAAAACACACTTTGAAGAAGAGCGCTGAAATGGGTAAGTCTGGAGCAGAGAGCAGAGATAGAGGAGACGACATCAAGTATAGACTCTCCTTTTGAGAAATTTGAAGGAGACAGGAAGGAGACAGAGGTAGGTAGCTAAAGGAAGATACAAGAACAAATGAGGATTTTCTTGGGAAAGAAGAGAGAGAGGCTTGAACAGGTAGGAGCCAATAGAGGGAGATGTTGAAGACTGATTCATGCCCAGTCCCTGAGGAGATGGGAGGGTAACGCCTGGGAGAAGACTATCAAACAATGAGATGGTTGTAGTTAAGAAGACAGAGCAGCCAGGACCGGTTTGGCTCAGTGGATAGAGCGTCGGCCTGCGGACTGAAAGGTCCCAGGTTCGATTCCGGTCAAGGGCATGTACCTTGGTTGCGGGCACATCCCCAGTAGGGGGTGTGCAGGAGGCAGCTGATCGATGTTTCTCTCTCATCGATGTTTCTAACTCTATCTCTCTCCCTTCCTCTCTGTAAAGAATCAATAAAATATATTAAAAAAAAAAAAGACAGGGCAGCCTTGACCAGGAATTCAATTGGTTAAAGCGTCCAGATATGCCAAGGTTATGGGTTCAATCCTCAGGGCACATACAAGAATCAACCAATCACCCAGCTGGTGTGGCTCAGTGGTTGAGCAGCGACCTATGAACCAGGAGGTCATGGTTCTATTCTTGGTCAGGGCACATGCCTGGATTGTGGGCTCGATCCCCAGTCTGGGATGTGTGGGAGGCAGCTGATCAATGATTCTCATCATTGATGTTTCTATCTCTCCCTCTCCCTTCTCTGAAATCAATAATAAAAATATATATATTTTTAAAAAGATTCAACCAATGAATGCATACATAAGGGGAACAAATCGACATTTCCCTCTAAAAAAAATCAATAAAAAAGGAAGACATAGCAGAGAGAGCTCTGGGTAATGCTAACATTTAAGGAGTGGGTGGTTAAAGGGGAGAAAAGATGTTGGTTACTGGAGATGGGGTCATTGGCTTGGGAGGCCAGGGTGTTGGTTGGGTTATCTGTGGACAATGAAATCACTGGGTTGGCAGGAGTTGGGGTAGAAAGCACTATGAGCTAGGTTCCTAATTCTCCTTGTGTAGTTAAAGGTATCCTCCCAGCTACACTTCCCACTAAGGCACAAGGCCCTTGGGCAGAGATCTACCTTTGCCCTATTTTAAGGAGTATTTCTTTGGAATTTTCTCTCCAGGAAGCCCTCACCACCTAAATGTCAGATTACCAGGCCCCTAATCACTGGGACAGCCTTATGGACAATGAGATCCCAGCAATGGCTGCCTCTCCCTTCATGTAGACCAGCGGTTTTCAACCTGTGGGTCGCGACCCCTTTGGGGGTCGAACGACCCTTTCACAGGGGTCGCCTAAAACCATCGGAAAACACATATATAATTACATATTGTTTTTGTGATTAATCACTATGCTTTAATTATGTTCAATTTGTAACAATGAAAACACATCCTGCATATCAGATATTTACATGACGATTCATAACAGTAGCAAAATTACAGTTATGAAGTAGCAACGAAAATAATTTTATGGTTGGGGGTCACCACAACATGAGGGACTGTCTTAAAGGGTCGCAGCATTAGGAAGGTTGAGAACCACTGATGTAGACTCTATAAACGGGAATGGAGCAATGTTTATTGCATAGGGAAAACAAAACAAAACAAGGCTCCATCCAGATCAAGGTAGCTCTTTGCCTGTGGCCATAAATTGAGACCTGTTTCACTGTTGAGATGTTCTTCACTGGAAGCAGAGGTTATTTCATTAATTCCATGGGCCATATATGCTCAGGGGCTGGGTGGTACCTGGGAGATATGAACAAGGTCAGAGGCAGCTTAAGCCTAGGAAGGACTTGAGTGGGTGGGTACCATGTCTAGGGCTCCTTCAGGTTCCCAGGTGATGTCCATCTGAAAATGGAATGGATAGGGAATGTTGGGGTGATAGCAATGAACTTGGGGGATAATTCTAATAAAAATTGAGTTCAAAGTGTTTGATAGAGATAAGAGTGCGTCATAGTCATGAAGAACTCTTCCTTTCCTACTTATTTTCCCTCCACACACTACTGGGTTCACAGGGCTCCCCACCTCTTCTCTCTTTTTACAAAGCCTGGAATTTGACAGTCAAGGAGTTGGCTTTTCCTCACTCCCCAAGTGTAAGGACTGAGGGTATGTGGGACAGGGAGGAAGAGATCAAGTCTGGTTATAACCAAGTGGCGAGTGTCCAGAGCCAGGAAGAGGAAGTGGCAAGGGAAATGGGTACATGTTCCAGATGATGACTTGCCATCTTTATCATCTTATAGGCCAGGATTGTAATGAATGAACTCCCAGAATTTTCAGTCTTTCCTTCAATATATCATTAATAATATCCAAATAATTCTAAATGGTATTATGTATCTTGGCTAGGAGTGGGAAGAGCTCCTAGAGCAGTTTCTCCACTTATTTTTCATTATCATCCCCTAAAAAAACCTTTCTAGATATTTTTTGTCCTACTGCTCACCCTCCCCTCATGAAATTTCAATACTACATATATACTGTAAATCTATTTAATAACTATATTTGTGATTTATACATAAAAAGATTTTAAAATGCAATATAGGGTTAATCCTATATAATAAAAGCTTAATATGCAAATTGGCACCTCAACCGGGAGTTCGACCAGGGGGCGGGGCCGGCTGGCTAACAGCCTGTGGCCCCTCCCCCTGGCTGGTCCCACCCCGGCCAGGGTGGCAGCAGGCAGCCAGAGGAAGGGAGGCCCTGGCTGGCAGCCAGCAGCTGCTAGGGGACCCTACCCGTGCACAAATTTTGTGCACTAGGCCTCTAGTAATGACTAAAATGTTTAAGTTTAAAAATTTAGTTTCATTTAAAACTTTTTAAAGCTGATAAAAGTTAACTATTTGCTGAGCAACTTTAAATGTAATTTATATACATTGTAAAGTATGAAATTACTTATGATTTTTATATAACTATGATGCAATTTATCTAACTATGAATGATATCAGCAGTGTAATCAAATTTTTAAAAGAATTTTAGAGCTTATTTTTTCAGGAAAAGTAAGACAATTGACAATTTAAATTACTTTCTTTTTTTAAAATATGTTTTTTATTGATTTCAGAGAAGAAGGGAGAGGAGAAAGAGATAGAAACATAAGTGATGAGAGAAAACCATTGATTGGCAGCTTTCTGCATGGCCTCCACTGGGGATCAAGCCCACAACCCAGGAATGTGCCCTGACCAGGAATCGAACCCTGGGTGACCTCCTGGTTCATAGGTTGATGCTCAACCACTGAGCAACACCAGCCTGGCTAAATTACTTTCATAAAAAACATTTTTAGTGAACTTTTAAGTGTTGCTTAATATGACAAAATAACTTTTAACTAGATTCTAGATATTTATGTATTATCAACATTTTTTCTTTTCAGTACTTGACAATTAATGATAAATTGACTTTTGTAGAATTAAATATAAGCCATTTTTATTTACTTCAAAGAACATAAATAACACACAAAGGCGCTGAGGATCAAGCAGATGATGTTTTATTGAGTTGTACACTTGAAACCTGTGCCCCAATAAATTCAATTAAGAAAAGAGACAGTTAAAGGCATCGAGTAAGTGCACACAGGCCACTATTCACGATATGACTGGAACGATGAACGATGGATGGATTGAAAGTCCTCCAATCACAGCCATCTATTCCCCATGGTTTTTAGCTCTGATCTGGATCATGTTTTCTGTACATTGCATGACTTCAGCATCACTGCTGCTTATGTTATACCCAAGAAAATCCAGTAAGACAAGTTAGATACTAAGGAATAAGATACTGTCAGCTGGGGTTGAGATTTAGCTGGCCACAACTATCATAATAGTTGATTTTTTCATTCCTCTCTCCACAGAACCAATTCTCACCCTCTTAGCAGTGATTTACCCACCATTCATTGCCCTTCACCTCCATGTCGCAAATGCAAGTATTATAGTAACATCTCACCTGGACTGAATAAAAGAAGACAGAATGAATGCTGGAGAAAGGGGGTGGTAAGGGAAGGGGATAAAATAAGAAATACTGCCCAGCCAGTGTGGTTCAGTGGTTGAGCGTCAACGTATGAACCAGGAGGTCACAGTTCGATTCCTGATCAAGGCATATGCCTGGGTTATGGGCTTGATTCCTAGTGTGGAGCATGCAGGAGGCAGCCAATCAATGATTCTCTCTCATCATTGAAGTTTCTATCTCTCTCTCCATCTTCCTTCCTCTCTGATATCAGTAAAAATTCTATTTTAAAAAAGAAAAAAGAGAGAAATACCTACTAGAGATCAATCATTTGTGAGAAAAAAATGGATAAAAAACTTTTGCCCATACCTACACTTTAAAAAATATGTGGGTCCACAGATGCCTTCATAGGCGAATTTTACTAAACATTCAAAGAAGAATGAACACTTTTCTTTCTCAAACTATTCCAAAAAATTCAAGAGGAGTGAAGGCTCACAAACTCATTTTACAAGGAGAGTATTATTCTGATTCCCAAACCAGACAAAGACATTACAAAAGATAGAAAATATCCCTGATGAACATAGATTCAAAAATTCTCAGCAAAATATTTGCAAATAGAATTTAGCGATACACTGAAAGGATCACACAACATTATTAAGTGGGATTTATTCCTGGGATGTAAGGTTGGTTCAATATTTGCAAATCGATTAATGTGATAAACAACATAAACAAAATGAAAAGTAAA